ATTTTGTGTTTTTTTCTTCATTGTTTTTAAAAAAACAAATATGCTATCGATTAAGAAGGAGTTTGAAGACACTATATGTTTTATTTTTATGTCATATGTAAATGTATAAAATGTACAATGATGCATTATATATATATATATATAGTAGGAGATTTGAATCGAGAAGTAATTTTGATTATTTTTCGTAATAATATAGGATGTTTTTAATATGGATATTGCAAGTTATTTATTTTAGAAAATTAGGTCGCAATCGAAAATTAATTATCATATTTTTTTGTTGAAAAATAGGTTTTACTAGCGAATGGTTGTTGGAGCCTTAGTTGCCACTAAAAATCACTCATAACCTTTAGTGGCAATATTTTGGGATTTTGTGGCGATTTTGTCGCCACTAAAAGTCAAGTTCTTTTGTAGTGAATCTTAGTTGGCAATGCTTAGGTGGAGGGATTAGTCCCATGTGGCTTGTCACGTCACTAAAAGATTGGGGTGTTAACTCTTGAGGGTATTTGTGGTCTCCTGAGATAACTACGGGGGTATTTTTGATCCCAAAATGTAATGGAGGGTATAAGTGGTCTATTTCGCATAGTTCAGGGGCAATTTTGACCCTTTTCCATTTGAGAAATAACATATAGGTAAAAGGTAAAATTTAGAAGGTTATTTTACACAAATATCTTTTTTTAGGCTAACATTTAAATTTTACCACTATTTTAAAAAAGAAACTTTCATAAATGTTCATAGTGAATGCGCTAGCTAACAATCAAGAAATTATTGATAACAAAGAGGGACAAAGTTTTTAGAACGAATACATAGTTATAGAATTTAAAAGACCAGTTAACGTAAATATTTGTTTTCAACGCTCAGATTTTGTTTCTATTTAAAACGGGAAACTTTCATAAATGTTAAGAGTGAATGCGCCAGCGAACCGCCAACTGAATTATCCGTAACTAAAAAGGACAGAGTTTTGAGAACTAACATGTAGTTAAAGACATAATTTAAAAGACTAATTTACGCAAATATCTCTTTTTGAGGCCAACATTCAAATTTTGTTTCTATTGGAAAACATTTTTTTTCATAAATGTTCATAGTGAATGCGCAAGTTAACATTCAGCTAAATTATCTGTATCTAAAAGGGATAAAGTTTTGAGTCTAACATTCAAATTTTTCTCCCATTTTAAAAGGGATTTTTTCCATAAATGTTCAGAGTGACTGCGTCAGCTAACAACCAACTGAATTATTTGTAATAAAAGAACATAGTTTTGAGAACTAACACATGGTCAAATGTAGAATTTAAAAGGCTGATTTATGCAAACATTCTTTTTAGGCCAATATACAAATTTTGCTCCTATTTAACAAGTGAAACTTTTATGAATGTTCATAGTGAATGTGCCAGCTGAAATCTTTGTAATAAAAGGGATAGCATTTTGAGAACTAAAGCAAAATTTAAAAGGCTAATTAATTTATGTAAATATCCCTTTTAAGAGGTTGATACTCAAATTTTGTTTCTACATGAAAAACCAAACTTTCATAAATGTTCAGGAACGCGTCATCTAATAGTTAGTTGAATTATGTGTAATTAAAAGGGATAAATTTTGAAAACTAACACGTAGCCAAAGGTTAATTTATGCCAATATTCAGATTTGTTCCTATTTGAACAGAAAGCTTCATAATTATTCAGAGTGAATGTCTATCCAACATCCAACTGAAATATTTATAACTAAAAAGGGACAAAGTTTTGAAAACTAACACATAGTGAAAGAAAAAGTTTAAAAGGCAGTTCACACAAATATCCTTTTTTTAAAGCCGGCATTTAGATTTTGTCCCTATTTAAAAAAAAGAAATTTTCATAAATGTCGAGAGTGAATGTATTAGTTAACAACCAACAAAATTGTTTATAAATCAAACTAAGAGTGTTTTGAGAACTAACACACAATAATTTAAATGACCAATTTATCAAATATTTCTTTTTTAGGCTAACAATTTGATTTTGTCTCGATTTAAATAAGAAATTTTCATAATGTTGAGAATGAATTCACCAGCTAATAACTAGCTAAATTTCTTTTTGTGTTGAATTTCAATTTCTCCCCCTGAAATTTAACACTACACTCTAAGCTACTTTTTCTTAATTTGGTTCGATTTTTTTTTTGAATTATTTTTAACTCTATCACGAACACCCCTAACAAGCTAACACTATTTGAATGGTTCTTGCGTATTATTTGATAATATATTATATTATATTATAGTGTTGGTATCATATGATATCGTATCAGATTGTATTGTAATAATGAATACAACATTTGAAATAGATTGTATCGTTATCTATCATTACATAATATCACGCATTAACAATTTCAAAATAAATCTATCAAAAAATAGTATACGAGATAGAGTTAACAACCATCCAATCAAGGTGTTAACTGCATATCAAACATTTATTCTCTTTCTCTCAACCTATTCTGAAGCTATTAAAGATGAAAAAACGACGATTACTAGCTATTATGATTCGAATACACATCAATTCTCGAGCCTCGTTATCGTCTGCTAGATTTAAAAGCATAACTGAACACAAACAAAACAAGAACTAAAAACTTAAAACTTAGTATATAGTACTGACAAAAAATAAAAACTCTGATGACATACGCGAATCGGCTTCTTCTTCTTCAATTTTTCTACTGTGAAATCCTAAAAGGGTAACTAAATAATCCAAGAATTGAACTTTCTTTCCATGAAAATGGTGATGCTCTGTTTTTTCAGTTGTGAGAGGATTAGGACCAGAAGGGATTAATCTTTTCTCCACACCATATCTTGGGTCAATTTCATCCATTGATGAAGACGATGACGATGACGGAGGCGGTAGAAATGGTGGGCAGTAGCGAATTCTTTGGAGTTGATAGCATATAACAGAAGAATGAAGATGATCTTCTTGATCGTGTTTTTTCGTTGATTGTTGAATTGGGAATTTTTGGGTTTGTGTTGAAGCCATTGAAGAGAAGGTAAAAACGATCAAATAAGCTAAAAATATACATTTACAAGCCATTCTTGAACCCGAAGAAGAAGAAAACAAAGCTGCTTTCATGGTGATTTCTGAACTTTTTTATAGGCAAAACAAAGAAACAGAGTAAAACAGAGATGTATATAAAGAGAGGATTTTGTATATGGCGGAAGAAGTTTTTTATATATGAAAAAAAATCAGAGTTTTTGAGCGTTAGATTTTGCCCTGATTTTCTTACTTTATTTGAAGTTTATTTTTTCCCAAAGTAAAAGACAAAAAATTACCATAAATATTTTTACTTTTCATGAATATATTTTTCTTTCATATTTGGTTTATTCTTTCCAAATTTTTTTGGAGATTATAGATTGAAGATCTTTATTCTTATAGTATAACAAAATAGAGTCCAAAATATAGTCGTTTAGAGAGTTTTGTTTATGGAGAAATTTTTCTCTCAACAGTTTTAATATTTTCTTTTTATTAGTTTTAAATTATGTATGCCAATTGGTCGTATCATATAATAATATTATGTCTTTTAGTATAGTTTTATATGTCATCTAATTTATTGTCATATGATTTGCAAATTATAAGCTTTCGCATAACGCCCTAATCACCTTTATAACCCAACATTGAGTTATATATTATTTACTCGCTCATATTAGATATGACATATTTTTTTAAAAAAAATTAATTTTATCGTACTACCTCTAATTATTATAAGTCATTTACTATTGAAAAAAATGAATTCAACATAACTAAAACATTAATCACAAAGGTAAAACAAGTATAAAATGATCGATTATTTTTTATTTATTTTTTTATCTGAATAAGTAAAAGTGAATAGAGAGAGTATTCCCTTCGTATCAAATTCCAATATGTGAATGTGTTGCTAATTTGGGAGTCGAACAAATTTTTCTTTGATTGTGATTTTATAAAACTTTTAAAGATTATCAGTTATGTTGACTTGTAGTATTTTTCATGTAGTTTTTAAATATAATTTTATTCTAAAATAGTTATAGAATCAATTTGAAAATTTGTTGTCAGAATTAAGTGTTTGAACGCCTGAATATTTTTTACATAAATTAAGATAAACAAAATATTTAATTTTATAAGTAAAAATATTAGGCTATCGTATGCTTTTATGATAACTTACAAACTTTTAGATCGCAATTAAATATTTTTTCAGTATCATAATATGAAAGGGTAAGTTACAATAAAATAAAATATTAAATAGTTATTAAAGAAAAAGACATTCAACAAAAATTTCATTAACGAGAAAATGAGTGACCCAATTTTCGAGTTGAGTTTAATTTTTTGGTACACTATATTTTTTGAGATGTAAACTCATTTAATAACTTTTATTAAGATGATGAAAAATACCCTCTTATTTATAGTGACTTAAACTTTAAAATGACATGTATTTAAAGATGTGGGGTTAATATGAGAGTTGTCAAAGCCTAATGATAGAAAATAAAGATTATTTATAATCTTTTGTAATAAAGTCTGATTTAATATTTTTTCAATTTTCTTTCTCTTAAAATGATTAATATGTGGTGAGTATTCACACTAGGGATTTTCAAATTTAGAAATGGTATTTATTATGATAGCTGCTGTTGTCAAAACCTTTAAGAAATCCTATATTAAAAATTGGAGTAGAATCAAATCATAGGACAAAACATACTGATGACTCCTTAAATTTATCAGTATAGAGTACTTTATTAATTCGATCATCAATTTAGCATATTTATAGAACGATGACAAATAAGTTAAATTAATAAGAATTGAATCGAACCGATCCATGATCCGTAAACTAATCATGAAAAGGCCTATTTGATTATTTTACAGTAAAACTTGGAATTAAAAAAGGTAATCTTAATAACATTAAATTGAATTAAAAAAAAAAAGTAAAAAAGAAGCAACCAAAACTTCCAATAGACCTTGAAGCCAAAAAACTTTCAGTAAATATGACGTCGAAGCAAGTTATGATGCTCAGACTCTTCACAAATGTCATGAATCCTCCAAAAGTAGTGCATTTTGGAGGATCTGACACGAGTACAACAACAATTTTGAAGAGTCGGAGCAACATAGGAAAAGCAAGAGTCCTCTTCTTTCACTTCCCAACTATTTGACGTGCACGTCGATTTGCACCTTTAACTCGAGAGTTTAATTCATCTACATCTTTGTCAAGATCATCTATAGCTTTGTTTTGCCTGCATTTATCACATTTCAACAACATGTGTTATTAACAAAAAAGGATTAAAAAAGCAAATGATGTCATATCGATAATAAGTGAGACTAGTTACCTAGAAAATGAAACAGACAACGTGCTATAACATGTTAAATTACACTAATAGCATAAAACTTCTTTATATTGTCAATGTATATACATTTACTTGTATGATCATTGATCACCGCGGTTTTGAGCTACATGTTCATCATCAACAACAAAACCAGTGTAATCCCACAGGGTGGAGAGTGCACGTGACCTTACACCTACTTTGAGAAAGTAGAGAGGTTGTTTCTGATAGACCTTCAACTGAACGAATGATGAAAAAGAGGTGGCAGTAAAGCAGAAACAAAAAGAAAATAAGATATCGAGGCTCATGTTGTTCATCAATTGCTATAACTTAGTTAAAGTATCACAGTCCACAGATGAAAATTGACAGTCACTTCATGAAAACACATTTTAACTTCGAAAACTAAGTCACATTTTGTCGAAAGTGTTCAAAATGAAACGTAACAACAGAGTAACAAAGAAGAAGAACATCATGTAATGTTAGTTAAGTTCGAAGAAAATTACTTTTCAAGTTCAGATCCCATGTCAACAGCCATGCCTTTTAGATCACCCAATATGTTGCTCAAATCCGAAAGTGCATCATCTTGCTTCGACTTCTCAGACTAGTTAAACATAAACATAGTTTTTTTTTACCATAGGAAGAAGGCTAGCTACATTGAATTTTGTGTATACGAAATGTACCTCAATTTGCTGCATAGCGTTCATCGATTCAGGAGGAGGTGTACTAGAGGCTGATTTCCCCTTTTTACCATTTGATAAACCTAATTTTTCCCTTTCACTTGCACTACCTTTCCCTTTATGATTATCATCTACGAAAGCCAGAGAAGATGAAAGTCAGTAAAGTTGATTACATAGTCACGATCGATAAGAAGGAGAACACAAAACCTTTTGAAGTTCGAGGCCCTTTAATATCGTGAGTCTTTTTTGCCTTCCAAGGCATCGCGAACATGCCACCAAGATTGTTCAATAACTTCTCACCCTAAAATGCAGAAAACAAGCTCATTATTGTCAACTTTTCTCATGTCATATGTTCCGATTATACATTGAATGAGCAAAGAAAATTAAGCTACTTTCCAAATGTTATAACATGTTTTGTAAGTTGCAGTGTTTAATTGACACAGTGGAGACGAGTTGAGGTGTCTGGATATGCATACTCGAGTGTTTGTTTATGCATTATGTCTATAAAATAAGTATACACTATCCGTGCACCAGATGGTAATCGAACTCTCATTGCAATAGTAATTGAAATGATCAATACCTTACTCAAATCGCGATCCATATCAACAGCCATCATATGAGTACGATGAATTTGCTCGCCTTGCTTATGCAAGGTATCGAGTGTCTGAGCACCTTCCTGTCTAATATCCTCAGCTATCTTCAAACAGTTATTCACCGAGCTTGTTGTCTCCTTAGCTTGGTCTACAGCATACCCCTCCAATTCTTGCATAGACATGTTGTCAAAATCCTCTGTCTTACTTTTATGTTTGTTCCTTGTCACACCAGATGAATCATCGTCATCTGGTGTGACAAGAACTGGCTCGGAGGAAGTTCTCCGACCAGGTTTCGTTCCATTTTTTTCATCAGGAGTAGCAGAGTCTGCTTTTTTCCTGAATCCAAACATTTTTCCAAAACTAAAGGGATTTTTTTTTAGCTTTACCTGAAATGCAAACAATTTCAAGATTATAAACCAAAACACTCATATTTGCTTGTAAATTACTAGATTTCAAGCTATATATACAACTAGCAGTTATTATCTCAGAACACCATTTTCTTTGCTGAAAAAAAGTTGAAATAAAAAAGAAACTTGACTTTCTGAGATAATAACTATTAGTTGACTGACATCAACCCCTCTTAGATAATCGAATAATTGAAAAAGCTGAATGAATTTTAGAAGAAGGTAAAGCACTATAACTTTTCATTTTTGGAGAACCATTTACAAAATTTCATTTTTTAAAAATGACCAAGATCAAGAGAAAAATATTTGAAGATTGAAATTTTAAAATTTGATCAAATTTCATGGCCAAATAAATATTTAAATATAATCTTTCAAAATCCATGGTTAAACGCTAGCTTAACATTTCACTCGTTATATTTTCAAAGTTATGGCTCGTTGCAATATTCGTGAACTTTTACATATACAAATTTATGTTCCACGTCAAAAGTACTCTAACAAAAGCCAACCTCAACAAAAACAAACAAAAAAACAAAGGAAAAATAAAGATATGTACCAAGATTGAAGAAAACAATTTAAAAATTTTTTGGAATGAAATAATTAATTACCTTTGAATGATTGAAGAATGGGATCTATTTATGAAGAGGGAATTATTAATTAAGGGGAGAGGAAGAAATACTGAATTTTACAGATATTTCTTCCTCTCAGAAGTCGTGAATTATAATGAAAGAAACAATGGACACAAAGAATTTATTTTATCAATGGATCAAATATATTAAGGAGAAAAAAAAATGGAAGGTTACCCTTAAAACCAGCTATTGGCAATTTTACCTGTTTTTCAAACATTTAGCGTTAGTTTGGTACGTGAGATAACGATAATAAGTTCAAGGATTAATTTTATTTCAGGTTTGAATTGAGGTATTAGCTAATTTTGGAATTACTTTATCCCATAGTTTGTATTTAAAATGGTGTTACTATCCCTGCTATCAAACGACCTCTAAGTTATATTATCCTCTTACCTCACCTTTTCACCTACTTTTTTTATTATTTTCGTTCGTTGTTTGGTATCTGTTTTAGGATCCGACTAATCTGAATAAAATCTCAAATTGGGGTAAAACAATATTCTCTACCAAAAACGACTATATTCTCTCGAGCTCAAACTCTTAAGAATGGAGGGGGTGCAGAGGGGAGTCAGGATTTAAAGTTTACGAATTTGAAATTCTAGTTCTTTTAAGTTATTATGTTCTAAATTATAATTTTTACAAATTTGATGAAAATTTTAAAAATAAATAAAAAATTTGAACAAAAGTTACTGAGTTCAATCGAATCCATTACAATTGTTGAACTCAAACCACCATATAGCTAAGCTACTAAGATTGCGGAAATTACACAAAAAAATTCTTAACTCCCAAAAAGTGGAAGAAAAAAATATCTACATGTCCAATTAACCTGAATGCTACTAGCCACACAATCCCAAAAATATCAAAATCAAAAGGCTTTTATACTATAGTACATGTTTTGTTTAAAAAAAACACAACAAATCACATGTTGCTCCACTCATTTTTCAACATGCACAACAATTATTTTGATTAAATTTTGTATCTAAAAATTTAGCATTTTGAAATTCAGTTCAGAGACATCATGGCAACTTTTGCTGTCTCTGGATTGAACTCAATTTCAAGTATTTCTAGTTTTAATAACAATTTCAGAAGCAAAAACTCAAACATTTTGTTGAGTAGAAGGAGGATTTTATTGTTCAGTTTTATAAGAAGAAGAAGAAGTTTCTCTGTTAGCAATGTTGCTAGTGATCAAAAGCAGAAGTCTAAGGATTCTTCCTCTGATGAAGGTACTTGAAATAATTTTCCGTTCAATTTATTTGTCTGGTTTTAACTTGACACGGAGTTAAAAAAAGTAAAGACCTGTTGTGGTATGAAATCGAAGATATGTTGAATGTACTAAAATGTTCTTTAATCTTGTGGTGTTAAACGTACTAGGTGAAAAGTTAAAAAATTAAAGAGTTGTCATAAAAGGGGTGAGGCATTATTTTTGAAATAGACTAGAAATGAAAGTAAGATAAACAAATTGAATGGAGAGAGTGTTATAGTTTTGAACTTTTGGGTTCGTGTGTGTTAGAGTCTCACATTGGTTAAGGAAATGAGTTGATTCCTATACGGTATTAGCAATGCTCACCTCGTTAACTAGTTTTTGAGATTGACTTAGGTCCTAGGTCTACTAATTTGTTTAACATGGTATTAGAAAGACAACGACAACATAGCCAGTGTAATCCCACAGTGGGATCTGAGTGAGGGATGTTGTGTACGTAGACCTTACTTCTATCCTGTGAAGGTAGATAAAGCGTTTCTGATAGACCCTAGGCTCAAGACACATTTCTGTTTTTGGATAATTAGTATTGAGACCTTACGTTATATTATCCATGCTCCAGATGTTCAGCCTTGGACGTGCCAGGGTGTTAGAGTCGTGCATTGGTGGAGGGAATAAGTTGTGTTTGTTTATAGAGGTGTAATTTGAAAATTTCGTATATAGTGGAGTTCTCACTCCTTAACGACTATTAACATAGCGGAAGTAGAGAAGCAACATACATTATTTGGACCCTTTGTTGATTGGAGATCAGCAATTCCAATTGGACTTATAAATGTTTGTTTTTGGTATTTTCAGGATTTACATTAGATGTTTTTCAGCCGGACTCCACGTCTGTTTTGTCAAGTATAAAGTATCACGCAGAGTTCACGCCATCATTTTCTCCTGGGAAGTTTGAACTTCCCAAGGCATACTATGCAACTGCAGAGAGTGTTCGAGATACGCTCATTATAAATTGGAATGCCACATACGAATTCTATGAAAAGATGAATGTAAAGCAGGCATATTACTTGTCTATGGAATTTCTTCAGGTTAGATTACCTAGGCTTCCCCCTTATTTCGAGTATAACTACAGACGCCACTCGTTGGAGTGAGTTGCTTTAATATGCTTTTGGTGCTTGCAGGGAAGAGCTTTACTCAATGCTATTGGTAACTTGGGGCTAACCGGACCTTATGCAGATGCTTTAACTAAGCTCGGATACAGTTTAGAGGATGTAGCCAGGCAGGTCAGGTTTCTGTAGGAACTTACTTATTTCTGTTGACGGTTAGCCACTCGAAGTAGTTTTTGTTCAATTGAGTCTTTGTCTTGCCTTGTTTGACTATTACTAACACTGAAACTCTGCTCTAAAATGAGAAATGTTGAAGGCGACTAGCTACCGTTTCTAGATTGCACAAGTTCTTGATTGATATGCTTTTCCAAAATGATTTAATAACACGTCAACGTAGTCAAACTATCCCACTCTCATCACCACTGTTCTAACATTGTGATATATGTCAATTGATTTCACTCGGGATAGTAGTCTACTGTAATTAGCTTAAGCTGTTTACTGTAATGACTGACAGGAACCGGATGCAGCTTTAGGTAATGGAGGTTTAGGAAGACTTGCTTCTTGCTTTCTGGACTCAATGGCGACGCTAAACTACCCTGCATGGGGCTATGGACTTAGATACCAATATGGCCTTTTCAAACAGCTTATTACAAAAGATGGCCAGGAGGAAGTTGCTGAAAATTGGCTCGAGGTACGATATGTTGTTAAGATTGTTGGAGGACCTTGATACTACTGACTGCACGTTTTCGAATATTGCAGTAGATTTTTTATGTCATTTGCTATGCTCCAAAGTAATAGGACTATTATTTTCTCAGATGGGAAATCCATGGGAAATTGTCAGGAATGATATTTCGTATCCCGTAAAATTCTATGGGAAGGTCATTGAAGGAGCTGATGGGAGGAAGGAATGGGCTGGCGGAGAAGATATAACTGCTGTTGCCTATGATGTCCCAATACCAGGATATAAAACAAAAACAACGATCAACCTTCGATTGTGGTCAACAAAGCTAGCTGCAGAAGCTTTTGATTTACATGCTTTTAACAACGGAGACCATGCCAAAGCATATGAGGCCCAGAAAAAGGCTGAAAAAGTGTACTTACTTCTTTAGCTTAATTGAGAAACTATAACATACTTCCTCCATTTCAATTTGTTTGTCGTACTTTCCTTTTTAGTTTGTTTAAAAAAGAATGCCTCTTTCCTTTTTTTGAAAACTCGTTGATTCTAACTTTCCACATGACATGTTTAAAATCACAAGATTCAAAAGTCTTCTTTACTTTTCTTTAACTCCATGCCAAGGCAAAACGGGACAAACAAATTGAAACGGAGCAAGTACTATTCCAAAGCATGAATGCTGCGGAATTACTGCAAGATTCCGGTTATTCACCACAAGAAGAGGATCCCCTAAAATTGTGTCTTGTTGTATTTTGGATCAGATTTGCTATGTCTTATATCCAGGTGACGAGTCGCTTGAAGGAAAGACGCTTAGGTTAAAGCAGCAATACACACTATGTTCTGCTTCTCTTCAGGACATTATTGCACGGTTCGAGAAGAGATCAGGGAATGCAGTGAACTGGGATCAGTTCCCCGAAAAGGTTGCAGTACAGATGAATGATACTCATCCAACACTTTGCATACCAGAACTTTTAAGGATATTGATGGATGTTAAAGGTTTGAGCTGGAAGCAGGCATGGGAAATTACTCAAAGGTTCTTTCTTCCGTTATTGCATCCGATAAATGTCTAATTTTTCTAGCTAGTAGCTTTAAGATACGAGCGTAGATGATTCTTCCCCTTGCTTATTCATGTAAATTCAGTAGCTCTACTCATGTGACATTGTTTATTCATGTAAATTCAGTAGCTATACTTCTGTGACACTGTTATGTCTTGGCAGAACGGTCGCATACACTAACCACACTGTTCTACCTGAGGCTCTTGAGAAATGGAGCTTCACACTTCTTGGTGAACTGCTTCCTCGGCACGTGGAGATCATAGCAATGATAGATGAGGAGGTGAAAATTGAAAC